TTTTGTCACACCCACCATATAGCCCTCACCTTGCGCCTTCGGATTACCATTTGTTTCGTTCCATGCAAAACTCTTTAAATGGTAAAATTGTTAACAACGCGGATGATGTCGGATCACACCTAATTCAGTTTTTTAATAGCAAAGACCAAACATTTTACGAACGGGGAATTTTTACTCTGCCAGAAGGATGGAAAAAGGTCATCGACAAGAACGGCCAATATCTAATTGAATAAAATTATATTCTTAAACAAAAATTCCGAATTTGCCTTCTTATTTGAAATCGGCAATGACTTAGTTGCCAACCTAATAATTTAAGACCTTCACTACACGAAGAGCGAAATTTACCATCTCTTATCGTTGAAAGAGGCCAATTTCTCGCTTTCAAGGACAATTTTACCCCGTGGAAACTAAGAGCAGGAGTTGGTAATGTGCGCATCTGCGCATTTGGGTGCCGGATTTACTTAAGGTGCATGAATCGCTCAAAATTCATAGCAATTTAATTACTGACACGAGTAGGGGAGGGCGATCAATCGGAGGAGGTCCGTGAAGGATAAATCAGTTCCCACTCTGTGGGGCATTCTAAACTCGGACAAAGGTAACCCTGGAAGGTAACTTGTAACGTCCCTATTGAGGGAACCGATTTAATTCGCCTCATCATTTACCACCAAATGTTGGTCTAACGAATTCTCAATCTGCAGGCTTAGCATATCTTTGAAGTGTAACTTAATTAAGCACTAATTGGCATCGACAAATCAATATCTTTGCTTTTCGCCAAAACATTTGACGGATTAAATTACAACCTCTAGTAGCTAAAGAATACTCAAAAAAAACCTTAACAGTAATGATTGAAATCAAAACAGTAAATATACACTTATTTATTCATTTAAAACTCCTTTTTTATTTTTTAAAGGAAGAAAAAATTTTCTGGGAAAAATCAGCGAACATTGAGCCATTATTTGTTGGTGATTATTTTCTTTTTTCCAAATTGAAGACAAAACACAGAAAACTTTTTTAAAAGAAAAAAAATAATTTCAAATAATCACTTAAAAATTATAAATAACTAATTTGGTCGGCTGACTTAAGTGGCCGAAAAATTATCAAGTATTGGACCACGAATTAATAATTTTCTTTCTTCTTTCGATAGCGCAAAATTTTTAAAATATAGAAATTTCTTTTGAATGTAGAATGGCCAGTTTATCGTTTTTGACTAATTTAAAAATATTTTTTCCAATCTCCATCACATTTTCTTGATTACTATTGAAGTAAGCTTTATCTTAAATAAATGATAATTTGGAAATACGCTTCCACTGGTACGAAATCGTTAATACTTCAATTCCGAGCTCATAAAATACACACTTTTATCACGTCAAGATCTCGCGTTGAATTCGAAATTCGTAATCATGTCCTTTCAAACACCTTTGTCCTGTATTTAGACCAACATCATCCAAAAATTAGATTATTGTGCATACTGATCACTAGGGCAGTTGCATTTGTTCCTTTTGGCAAACATTTACCGAAATATTCATCTCAGCAATTCATAGGAAATGAAAGAGGAGTTTTCGTCATTGGCCGTTTTACCCACTACGTCTCAGTTAAACCGAAAGACTACATTGCTGTCCTAAACGCATTGTCATAGTCATAACCGTCTTTACTACACCTTAGCTAATAAACACTTTTAAAAAAATATGTACAAATTTGTGTAAACTGGTATAGTCTCTTACATAGTGTCCATTTTTTTAATTTTTGAAAAAAAATCGCTTTCATTATGACTCCTGGAAATGCTAATGTGCTTTCCTGAGGTTCGAGAAGTCAGTTCACTCGCCACAAGCCCCCGCCCACCCCGTATTGCACCTGAACCCCACGATGACCCAGATTCAGGCGAAAGACTCTATGAGTGAAGACCAGTCAGATTGTCAAGTTACCGTTGGCTCACCTTTTCATCGCAAATGCCAGCAATGAAATTGCGTTGTTTTGGAATACAAATTTTATTGTGCACACTTTATTACTTGAAGTCACTTTTCCAGAGCGTGCAAATCCAATCCACATTAAAACAAACGCTAGCAAGTTGTATCTCTATTGTCTTAAAGTTCATCCAATATGATAATAATACAATATTTAAACGCAGAGTTATTTTACTCAAAAGGCACGTATGACCTTTATTCAGAGTGTGGGGATTACCATTGTTCCCTTCCAGAGAGGTCGGTCATTAGCTACGATGTTTGGGTGGGTTGACTCTGAAAGGACCGTTGATTAATGATTGGTTGATGAGTGGCTTCTGCACTCACGACTCAAGCCTGTTTGAATGCACATGAGATTTCTTATTTCAGCCAAGTAGGCTTGAGTTCTAATTTAATCGAATAGAGAGTAAAGAATTTGAAAATTAATTGAAAGGTAGCGCCACTAATGCTTTAAGTGGTGGCGTACACAATCTGCCGTACTTGCAGGGTATTGCTCAAATATTTTTCTTTTAGAGGTCACTCAAATTTTGCTAGATTAATTTGATAACTGTTCACATTTACCAAGATAGACTTGTCAAATAGACGTGTTCCGTGACATACGCGTCTGTTTCCTTTACATTTGGGCTGTAGCTTAGCTAGTTCTGGAAGTCCAGCCAGATATGGGAAAATCTGCCGCAGAGATTTCTGAGTCAGTCAAGGCTATATTGGAGTAGCCTGGTTTCAATTCTTGCTAATGGGTCAATAAATCAAAAAAATTGTCAAAAAGTATTAATTGGAAATTAAGTTTGTTCAGCATTTAGCAGTAATTATCGGTTAATATGTTGCTTAATTTTTGTATCCCATGGGAAGGTGAAGTTAACAATGAGAAAAAATTCATTAACTAACCTCATACAAATAATTGATTTCAAACTTTCATCTTTGAGTAAACAAGAAGATATTTCTGAGTAACTTTTAATTAAATTAGAATATAATTAAATATTACTGTTCAATTTTTTTTCATATCTGAAGAAACTCACCCAAAACTCAAAATATTTTGAGCTGACTTGAAGCACTATGTTAAATCTGGAGGTTTTAACTAGGCTGGAAGTAGAAATGTGTACTCTACGCCTCTAATCTGATTCTTGTGTGAGACAGCACTGTGAATTTTATGTCCAGCAATCAATTTTATTAATTATCAAAAATAATCTGAGTTTTCCTCCCCTAAAAAATTGAAAGAGGCCCTTCACTCAGTGATAGCTTAGTTAAAGCGATAAATCTATTCAGAGTTTCGTTTTAATTTGGTAAAAAAACAGCACATACTTTGCGTGTAGATGGAAGCATGAGGGTTTTTTGATAAAAAAAATAACATCACATGACATCAAAATGGTATACACTTGTGTTGATAGGTAATTAATCGTAAGATTGGCAGAATATGCAGTGAAAGTGGCATATTAATTGGATTGGGAAAGGGCAAAATTGACGTTAACAACTAAAAATGCAAAGGAGACAGCTAATTGGAGGCGCGAAGTAGAACGAAATTAAAAATAGACCTCATCAACAAGACTGAAACGATTGATTTACACAGAAAGGGGGATGATTTCCTTGAGAAGCGGTCTAATATCATCAAATTCCCTCCTTATCTCGATCTACCAATGTTACTACAATAATTTCACCTTGCGTTGAAATCATCGAAGATTGTAAAAGTCCATTAATACATGAATATATTGTAAAATACCGAATTGAAATTAATTAAACAAAAATTGTTTTGAATTCAAGAAATTGTTAGATCTTCTTTAGAATGTGGTTCAATAGAGGCGATAACCACTATTTTTAAACTGATGTCAACGGACTTTTATCTATTGGCAAAATATATTCAATATCGTTTGGGTTTGGCTAATCTATAGCAGGAATACTTGCTAAAACGCAGTGCTTACTACCTTGTGATACATTTAGACGAACAGAGAAGGTGAATACAAATTTACGTTACGTCCTTATATTGCACCAGATTATAAGTTTTCTCTGTAGTTTATAAGGTTTAACTTCCACGTTCACGCATATATCTATGGTTATTTAATTGCTTTCCTGCTACAATTGTATAAATGAATTCTGATCTGCACAAGTTTTAAATCATCGTGTATGCTTCTTATAAAGAACAGCAGGGGTGTGTACATTTGAGGATCAAAATTAACTTGATTTAGCTGCTAATTTTAGAACATTGAATTTATTGCCTTCGGTAATTTAAGGCAATCAATGGTAGGTAGTAGGTAGGTCATTTTTTCAGCCAATCAGATTTATTCTGGTGAACGGTATGCTATTGGTCGGAACCAAAGTTTTGAAAACATTACAAAAGATCAAAAGCTATGAGTGGGAGTTTTATGTTCCCTTACGTCAATGTCTAGTCCTGAGTGCTTGCTTCATTAATTGTGGAAAATATTAATTGTCTTGAAGGTAAGTACTTCCGTTTTTGCTGTACTTTGTGCGTCAATAAATTCGGTTTAAGAGTTATTAAAGTAATTAGTTCCTTATTCAGTTTACACAGTTTTATCAATTTGGCCTATTTTACCTTCAATACCAAGTAAAAATTGCTCGTAAAAACTCGCTCTTAATAAGCAATTTTTGTTAAGAAGAGGATTTTAATAAATTATTTATTGCAACCCCTCGTTGCAATTTAGATTGAAAGATAGAAGGAATGCGGAGAGGGTATCAGGCTGATCAATTATTTTCCAACTCGGATGATCCCCTAATTCAAAAAGTTCTTTCACAATCTCTTTCCCTGGAATCTGAATATCATCAAAATTTCACAGATATTGCCAAGTCATCAACCGCTGCAAAAGCTCTTATTTGCCTCTTCTATGCGATTATTTTCATTCTAAGCATCAGCGGAAATTCTCTCGTGGTTTTTGTCATTCTTCGAAAACCGGAAATGCGATCCGTTGTCAATATTTTCATCACTAACCTCGCTATATCCGATATTCTCATGACCCTCATTGCCACCCCATTGACACCTGCCATAATTTTTGTCCGCGGGTGGTCGTTGAATGTTTCCTGGTGTAAATTGCTACCAACTGTAATGGGCATCACTGTTTACGTATCCACGCTAACGTCAACGGCTATTGCCATTGAAAGGTGCATAGTTACTGTCTACCATATTCTCCCCAAAGTTCGCCACTGGATCTCATTTCTGGGTGTTCTTTCGGCGTGGATAATTTCGATCATCTGCTCTTGCCCGCTGGCGATCTATCAGGATATTTATTACGATCCTAGAACTAACATCACCAGTTGTCAAGAGAACTGGCCACAGAAGAGGTCACGAGCGGTGTTTACCGTCGTCAGTTTTGTTCTCCAATTCATAGTTCCCTCACTCATAATAACCGTCTGCTACACTAGAATAGGTCTGGTGTTGCAGGACAGGGCCAACAAAAAGATTGGAACAAAGACGCGTTTGAAGGAGGAGAACGTGTTGAAAAGGAAGCGACGTGCAATAAAAATGCTTATTGCAATGGTGGCGATATTCATTATCTGCTGGATACCGTTAAACTGCCTCTGGTTGGTCAGTGACCTCGGATGGTACGATTTCTCCGAATGGGGTTATTTCACCCTCGTCTTCTTCATTTGTCATTTGTTTGCTATGAGCAGCGCCGTGTATAATCCATTCCTCTACACGTGGTTGAACGAGAACTTTCGAAATGAATTTGTTCAGATTGTTCCAACCTGCATTATTCGATCAATCAAAATGAGGTCGAGCAGTAGGGATATTTATAAGGTGGTCACATCTTCAGGACTTCATTCTCAAGAGGAAACAGCAAGGAAGACACCCCTCAATCCACAGACACGCGCCATTAATCCTCAAGATGGAATAAGGATGAGTTCTGTCATTCACCCAACGCCTATTTAAACAATTCGAAATTGCGCACCCCTATTCCTCTCTCCAACTATAATTAAACAGAACAAATATGCTCTCGACGTTCAGTTCTTCCCTAAGCTCAACGCGAAATCTTTACATTAAGTAAAAATAAGAAGTACAACTTTTTCCGTAAATTGAATAGGGTAGTAAATGAATTTATTATTTTAAGTGAAAAATCAATAAAGTGTTGAAATGTGATGGAACTAATTAAGAGAGAACATTTGAGTCAAAACTAAAATCCACGGTGATTGGGTAAGCTCCAATGTCGCATTTCTCAAGTTCTAAAAAATTAAATTGATTTAAATTATTATATTTGTGAGAAAGCAAGCACCTCATTTATTTTTACATTGAAAATAAAGGAGAAACTATTGTAAATTCTAAAATGCTCAATCAAACCATCTTGGTCATTAAAATTAACGAGACCATCGTTTAAAAGATGGAAATGTTCCTATATTTTCGAGATTTTTGAAGTCTTTCTTAAATTAAAAACCTTAGTTAATGAGAACAAAATGTCCTTTGTTAATTTCATTGTTTCACAAGGAAAGTCCTTAAACTTGAATTTATTAAATTCAATTAGTTATGTACTCCAAGAACAGCAAAATTCGTCTTACACACTAACACGAATATATACAATTAAATTAAACATTTAAGTTCGAAAAAAACTAATATCTAAAAGCTATTTAAGAATACGATTTCTCTTTGTTATATTTGGACTAATAATTTAATTAAAATTTAAAAAAAGCGAAAACTCTTACCAATGCCATATTTGGATTGGTATTAGTTTAAGTAAAATTCCTAAAATGGCCCCTAAAATACCATTATACAGGAAGATGCCCATTAACTGGTGTTTACTCAAAATTTATGCAATCGATGGCCGTTAAATTTAACATATTCAAATAAATAGGAAACACATTAGACAGAAAGGTCACATGCACCCTGAAAGCCATTTCCCTTGTCCTAATTGAAGTTGCAGTTCAACACAAAGAACGCAGATGTATGGGACTGCCCATTAAGTCTTCGAAAGCTGAGCACAGAAAATGGCAGGCATTTTGATAGTTATCATTAGCCCTTTAGTTGACTTCGGGCTTCACAGTAGGGAGGAACATTAAAGTGAGAAGAATTCGACGGGGGAAAAGAAGAGCCAGTCACAGATGTAACAGACAGACAGACAGACAGACAGACACAAAGGCAGAGAAAAGGCTAGATGAGTACTGTGGAGGGGTCGAACATGACATACAGTGGGGTCATGGTAGTTTGAAGTCAGAGGTCAACTGCCAGTTAATTGACTTTTTTGCCGTATGAGTATACGTTGCCCAGGGTGCACCACGTGGAGGTAAGTCTATCGCACACCCACTTGGCTCTCCCCTCAAATTTCAACCCTACACGGATGGGCCGGAGCATGCCGTGCACCACTATGTTGCTCACCGCCTGGGTCTGTTCATGCGATTTGGTGTATCCACTCTTCCTCCTCCCAACCGCTCCATCCAATGCCCCATTCTCATCTACACACCCATCAGATACTAGCTCCCATGTGGAAGCCCAAGACGGTGTCGATGAAGAAGGAAGGGGAGGAGAAGAAGAAGAAGAAAAGGAGGAG